TAGTCTATTCTGAATATATTTGGCTCCACCATCACCATTCATTGTGAAGATGGTCTGACCAAATCCATAGTAAAAGGTCTTTGTAGTGGACAGAGACAGAGCCAAAATAAAAACTAAAAAAAAAAGGCAAATAATAGAAAGAGCTTATGCAGAAATAAGATCCAATACCCACTGGCAAAATTTCACAAATGTAAAATTTCTCCAATGTATTAATTCAAAATAAAAAATTTGATTGAAGTTTACTTGATTAAAAATAATTTACTTTTTAATAAATAGTTGAAATGCCTAACTAAAGTAGTTAAAAAAAAACCCATAATATGAGAAAATCTTAAATAGAACAGTAACAATTATAAATTTGCTATAGAATAATTTTAATATTTTTAGAAAAAAACAAATACTTTTATTGATCATGTTTTTTGAGTGTGAGGCTTTTATACACATACTACATTTGGTTATGTTTATCAGTTTTGGAATGGGAAGAATGGTGGAAATGATGCCACCTAACACATCATTAAAATGCATTGTCATCAGACTTAGATATGCTCTAAATGTTTCATCCTTCTATCTTAATTAGAAATGAATAAAATTTGAGTTACAAGATGTGAAAATATGATGCAAAACAAATTAAAAGCATATATAGAAGATTAAGAATTGTCTTACATTATACATAACAAGGAAGTAATATGTTTTCTTATTATCCACATAATCAATCATAACTTGTTTACCACCTCTAAATTTGATAATAATAATGTTGATGATAAATCCATTTATGTGCTTTTTTGCAATTATTTAATTTAAATAATCACAAAAAATACATCATCCAATTTAAATTTTTTACCTAAAAATAAGATATTTAATAGTTTAAAACAAACAAATATTATTTGAAATATTTNGAAAAATAAGTTATCCGAACAACCCCAGTCCCCAATTGATTCAGATAAACGACGCTCTACTGTATTATCATATGAACAAATTTTGTGTTCATATGTGAAAATTTATTTTAAGCAATTAATATTTGGTGTGGCTTCCTTTTCCTCCAAAACTGTAGAAACACATTCTGACATGCTATCATTCAAACATAAGTACATACTGTCTTAATCCCAAATTTACTTTATACAATGTCAAGTCATGAATGATGGAGTTAGAAAAATCATTGAGTTTTTGCTTATATAAATTCCTTTCATTTTCATTAGGACTGCGATCTAGACTTTGTGGTGGCTACTGCAAGAACTCAATCATTGACTCATCCAATTATTTTTGTGTATATCTATATTTATTTTTTTTATCATATTTTTATTATATTTTTGTGTATAATACTGTTAAATATACACAGAAATGCTGATTTACCATATTTTCTGTTTGTTCAGGTAATAGCGCTGCAAAACACCTGAAAAATTGGTTTGAAAATATTGCAATACATTTCTGCATTCATAATATCATCAATGTAAACAAGATTATTTGTGTCTTTGGCTGTAGTATAGCCCCTCCCATAAGAGTGCAACCTCCATATTGATGGTAGTATATAATGGAAGTTCAATTTTGCTGCAAGTGGTTTATAACAGCATTTATATCCACCACTTCCAAATCAATTAATTTTACTCTCATTGGAAAAATAACAAAATGCCAGTCATCTACAATCCAGTTTTTGTATTTTTCTGCAGAGTTCATCCATAATTTCTAGCACCTTGCAGTCAATGTTTCATGTGCTTATAACCCACAATGTACATTTCAGATTTTCTGAATAGAAACATTGATGTCTTGCTAGCTTATTTTTCACAACATAAGTTTGTTTTCCCTGATGTTACATTTCTTGCATTTCTCCTCTCCTGAGTAGTGTTCAATACTTGATAGTCCTGGCTTTAGTCTTTTCATGACTGTGGATTGTTTTTCCTTACTTTGTCATACTACTAATGCTAACACCCCTTCTTAATTTAAAGTAATTTTCAAGAAAGGGGTGTTAAATTAAGAATTCTCATGGAAGAACACTGAGAGTCTTGATTTAACAAAAGAAAATCAACAGTAATTAAGCAATTAAGTATTAAGTAATTAAGTAATATGCAAAGAAAGATCATGAAATGGGAAATCATCATAAAATAAGATCTTACATTATAAGAGGCTTCTATAATGCAAGATAGAAGGTTAATGCTCCTGTTAAAAACTTAATACAAAGTACATAATAAAAAAAAGTCAGGAGTTGGAATAGGTAAAAATAGGCCAACTCCAACTTCTCTAGCAATTAATTTACTTCTGACTCAGATTCCACAGCCCTGGTTTAAATCTGATGAAGAGCTATAAACTGGCTCAAAAATGTTAGTTTAGCAAATAGTGTGTATTAGATATTAAAAAGTTGTCAGTCATGTTGATTATTTTAAGTTATTAATTTTAAGACTCTAAAAAAATTAGTCTTTTCAAATCAATATACAATGTAATTCCATGCATATCAACATTTCAATTATATTCTTGAATATTGCTGTTATCAAAAATGAATATCTTTTTCAAATCAATTTCACTAGTATTTTTTAGTATTATAAAATAAAATAAAATAAACCAACCACTAACTATTGACATTAAATAACTTCATTTACATATATTATGCAAATACTTTCAACAGTACTATAATGAACAAAAATATCACCAGGAATGCAGCAAAGAAAAAGATTTAATAAATATTTTAATTAAATAATGTTTTCCACTATTTTTAGTAGTCATCTTCATGTTATACATTCAAAGATTGAACAAAACAGAATATATATTTATAAATTAATGGAACATAGCATTGCTATGCGTTTAAAGCTAGATGCAGGCATAGGAGGAGAAAAAAATAACCATTTTAACACTTTGAGACTTCAACCATTGTCACATGGCAATATCATGTTCTATTAATATTAAAATATGTATTCAGTTTTTTGTTCAATCTTCAAATGTATAACCTAAGGTGAGCATTAAAAATGATGGAAAATACTTGTTTATCTATTAAAATCTGTTTCTTTGCTGAATTCCTGGCAATATTTTTGTTCAGAATAATACTTTCATCCAGTTTTCTTGTATATGTTGATATTTACTATACTTTCAACAGTGTACAAGTATCATCTTCAAACAAAATTCAAAATTAGAACAAAATGTTTTCATAATTTAAAAATATGTTCCTTTTTCAAATTTTTGCCTGAAGATAATAGTTACATACTGTTGAAATTACTTACATAAATATGTAAATAAAGTTATTTAATGCTGACAGACAGTTGTTGAATTTAATTTATTTTGTGACTACTATCAAATGCATCTTAGATCTTTTTATTATTCTTTTAATATTTAAAGAACATCAGCAGACATTAGCATTAGCAAATATGTAGCAAATAAGCAAATAATTGCTATTGTAATGTGTAATTATAATGAAGTTAAGTACATTAGTTTTTCAAATTTATTATTATTTAATGTGTTTTCAAATGATATCAAAACTATAAAAATCAATCTATAAACTATTATAAGAGTAATGATTTTATTTAATAATATAAATGTTAAAAACATTTTGTCTTCTGACATAATTATTAATGGCATAATGAGATGGAAGGATGCCCAAGGAAGTTAATGCATCAACCTATTGCTTTGGGGATGCAGCATCAAATTTAGAGAACTGAAAAATTTCAGAAATTTTATGGGAGTAGTCTATTCTGAATATATTTGGCTCCACCATCACCATTCATTGGGAAGATGGTCTGACCAAATCCATAGTAAAAGGTCTTTGTAGTGGACAGAGACAGAGCCAAAATAAAAACTAAAAAAAAAAGGCAAATAATAGAAAGAGCTTATGCAGAAATAAGATCCAATACCCACTGGCAAAATTTCACAAATGTAAAATTTCTCCAATGTATTAATTCAAAATAAAAAATTTGATTGAAGTTTACTTGATTAAAAATAATTTACTTTTTAAATTCAAATTATCATCTGTATATTATTATTTCAATTAGTAAAATTTGGATGAAATTTTCCATATGCGAAATTGTAGACAAAAAACTTATATAACTTTTTATATAACCGACATCAAAATAAGACCAAAACTTTCTTACAATATAGTAATAAGACAAAAACACATTTTGTTTCAATAACTCTTAATATATCAAGCAACAAATGTCACTAAATGCATCACTGTTAAAAACATTATTTCTCATATAGGAATTTCAATTTTAAACTTCTTACCAATAAGTAAAGACGGGCGAATAACACTTCTCCCAAATTCGAATATCGGCCATCTCGAATATTCAAACACCCCGATAATCTTGTATAATTTATTTAATTAATAATTTAATTTTGTATTTATTTTATTTCTTTCAAAATATTAAATAAACAGAAAAACAAAAACAATTTACTTCAGGTATTATTCAAAGAAATTAAACTTTTTATTTTGATTTTTACAAGTAGACCTTTTTTACACACTCTTACCTCAACTACAATAGTTTAACCAATAATTTTATTTAAGAAAACAAGCATTAAACACGTTCAGGATCAAGTCCAAGTCTTTCCATGTGGCAAATTAAACCGTGCGCGCTGAAGAGGTATGTAAGGCGCTTTATAGGAGATATTCTTAGCATTATAATTTATTTTTTATTACTTATATTCGCCCATCTCTACCAATAAGTGTGAAGTTACAGATGAAAAGTGGATTTGAAATATTAAAAAAAACATTGATTATTAATATCTTTTTTATAATAAACCTTGATTTATGAAATTAAAATAAATGACAAAGATATTTAAATTGGATTATTATATTTGAAAACATTTGTATTTTATGAAAAACTGAAAACTAATCAAATCAGCTTTGTCCATTATTACAAGTAATTGTACTTCCACGTTTAAGGTTATAACGTTATATCATAATTTGATTGGATGAATGATATTCCTTCATTACATACAAGGGTAATGTATATAAAAAAATCAGTTACCATAAAATAAATGAATATAAATTCACTAAAACAAATGAAAAACAACCATCTTCGTCAACTTACAACTTTTCATCTATATTCGTCGCAATCTCGACACCAATCTTTCGATTTTACATATCATTATCACTTTTAAGCTTAAAACTATTTTATTTTTCAACTTTGTTTAATGATAAAAAGTAAAACGATGTTAAATTTTTTTATTCTTACACAGAACACTCAAAGTAACCAAGAAACACCTTGAAATTGAGATTAACGCCATATCGCCATCTTTGTACTCTAATCGAACCTATACTGAGTCATTTTTGCCATCCCATTTCGGAACTATTAATTATTGCTGTTATTAGAGTATGATTTTTATTTACTTGCTATAAATTTATTTAAAATATTTGTATCTTATACATATATAAATTCTGTAATTCTTCCTCTTTACTAATGAGAATGGATAACATATGAAATGATTGAAATGAATAACACGAGAATTATACATATTTCTCGTAATAATTTATTATAAATTTATATATTTTAATACGAAGTCATATCAATATAAAATTCAAGCGTATCTATAATCATAAAGGTTTAAATTGCTGCACGGGCACCACTAGTACCAATTGGCGCTGCGAAATCGCCATGACTAGCGCACTATAAGGCTCTAGCCGTGACATCAAATTTCGATACGTTTTATAATGTAGTAAAATTAGAGTTGTTGCCACGGGTCTTACTTTCGTAGGACAGTTCTTCAATTGCAACAGATGACCTACTTCCTACACGGAGGCTTAATTGTCTTACTTTAACATTTGTAAATAAAAAAAAATAAAAAGAAAGAGAAAAACTTTAAGTAATAGATATGTATATATCCATGGTGCGGTTTACTTTATATTACTTTTAAAAAATCAATTTTTCAAAAATATTTCCTCAAAATTGATGAAAAAACTTTATGGGTTAATTGTACATAAATAACCCCCGTTTTTTGCCTGGACCGCATTTTATCAGAGACAAAGCTTTTATTCGTATTCTTTATTTATTTTCTATGCATTTCGGGTGCAATATTTTCTTGTAATTTGCACCCCTCTTCAGGATTTTTACATTTCTATAAATTTGGTAAATTTAATTATTACATCGGTAAATTACTACAATAGTTATACAATGGTTAACTAACCTGTTTTAAGTTTTAGATCGACATCTGCCCAGTGTTGATGTTATGTCCCCTAAGGCATTTTTAGAC